CAGGAGCCGCAGCCTGCCCTGCCCTGCCCTGCCCCATGGCCGCGGGGCCTCGTCCGCCTGACGCCGCCGCCAGCGCCCGCGGTACGTGTCTCCCTCCGTCCCCGGAGCTCGTGTGGAAGCCCCTCCGAGTGGCCAAGTGGGGGCGGGGGGTTCCTGTCGCGCTCCGCGGGCTCTTTCCCGCCTCGCTTCTGCCTCCCCGGCGCCGTCGCTCCGAGCAACCGATTGTTCCCACGGGAAACAACGGTATAAACGGGGGGTTGGGTCCTGAACCGAGACCCTGCACCTTGTGCTCCCCACACATAACCCGGGATTTTGCCCTCGATCAATGATCGATGGGTCGTTAATGCATTTCGGTTGTAAATAGCAATCGTGTTGCTTTGGAAGGACTCCTTTGAGGGGACGGGCTCTTGGCCGGGGTCGTCGCAGGAGTCTCGGCCGCAGGTTTTTCTGGAGTCTCGCCTGCTGTCTTAAAAGAAAGCGTCCGAGGGAGTTTGGGCAGACGTTGTGCAGGGCGGGCAGGCGGGCGACGCGGCGTGGGGTCAAACGTTGAAACGGGGCGTCCGTTTATAAACGTTGTCACTTGAAACGTTGTAAGTCGAGGACCGTGGGTTTGGTATCAGACCCATCGTAATAGCGGTAATCACTTCGTTGCGGTTGCTCCGAGTCGTGAGGGAGAAAGTTAAACACGCCCGTTCCCCTCATTCCCTCTGCAAAGAACTGGCTGTTTATCGCCGGCAAGTGTCGTGATCTGTCCTGTGTCCTTACAGAGCCCTGATTCTGCCCGCGGAGGCCATGGAGAGGAGGTTGGAAGCCAAATTCAGCATCAGCTCTCGTGGTTTATCTGGATGTTGCCTGGGAAAACATGCAAAGTGGCTGGGAAAGCTGCACCTGTTCTACGTGTGTGCCTGCCTGAATGCGCTGTGCACGTCTACAGGTGACTATCCCGGTCTCGGTGAACTCTTTCTGTGTCACGACGTGGACGTAGCCCTTTACTTTACGTTAACGGCTGGGGGTTCAGTGTGAATTCAGCTCTTGCGCTCGAGCTGGTGCAAGAGCTGAAACCAATCTGAAGGAAGA